TCCATCCTAGCCTGAACGGGCAAAGATTATTATGTAACTGAAACTAAGGTGATGATGATCCAAGGCCAAACCTAATTTTATGATGACTAGTACAAACAAGACCTAATTAATGTGGTGGTATGATTGATATAGGATTATTTATCTCCTGATTCTGGATTAGCTACGTACAATTACCAACAACATCATCATCAACAAGTTTGTATAAACTGCTGAGTGGCATAAGTTCCAAACTCATATGACAACTTGTACTGAAAGTTGGAAGTTTTAAATATGTACTTTGATTTTAGTATATAACTTTTATTTCAACTACTTCCAGAGGTTGTCGAAGCATCACTTGGCCTGGCCCTCATATCACATGCATGACACTGTGATAATATCTTTGAATGTATTTCCAACTCCATCCTTATTCTTCAAACATTGGTCATTCATGCCTAGTTTATTGTTTAGCAAGTCTTTAAATTAAAATAAAGTATACTAACCCCATAAGAGAAGAACAAAATGTATTGAGATAAAAACCACCTTTTACAGATGGATTGTATTCCCACATCTTCAGGCATAAGAATATAATAGACAATGACAATGCATCTGCTGCAAATTGCAATTAATTTGCGATAAAAACAATACAAGTTGTAGGCATCTAAATGATAGGATGCATGGCTAAACAAAAACGTGCCCCATTTTTGGCAAACAACATAAAAAAGCACTCCTTTCTCTTTTGCTTTAACTCTAGAGTACAATTCATTCTCTATTATCTACTCTTTTGGAGGACAAGCCTTGAAAGAAAAATAACCAGTATAAGGGTCGCACGTAAAAGAAGAATTCAAATTGCGTTGCGGGCACATATCAGGCCAGTGGTCATATGGCTTCCCACAGATTCTACAATCCATGAGGATTGCACGTCCACGGGTTTGGCGGCATTTGCCACAACATGAGTCTCTAAACCTACATCCGCATACAATACACTGAACCGAACAACCCTTGCCAAGAATTGCATTCTTTGGGACAACAGACTTGTAGGGGCACAGTTGTGTAATGTGATCATCCACCTTTAAACAATACATACATTCACCTGTGTGCAATTTGTAGACCGATTGTTAAATACAACAAAAGCAATAAAAATAATTACTTAGTTTTTTAATTTTTTTGGTTAATGAAGAAGATAAATCCCAAAAATAAGTATTGTGAGCACATGACATAGAATTTCAACAAATAAATTGATATTATGTCATAAGAAGAGATGAATAAATAAATAAATAATATGTAAATAGAGTATGCATCTTTTTTTAATATATATAATCAAAAACATACCAATAGGATTAGGATGGAGGAGGGAGGAGGGAGGTGGGAGGGCTATCTATTTCATTTTCTTTTGGTCTCTAAAATCAATAGGCCAACAAGGTTTTGCCTAGTGAAAAAGAGCCTTAATTTGCAGACTAGTTGTCTCAAGTTCAAAGCCACATGACAACTTTGTAGTGTGTGTGAGACACCTACCTCCCCCTTGTAGTTTATACTATGGCGTGTATCATAAATAAAAATAAATAACAAACATACCAGCAGGAACAGGAGGGTTCGGTTCCTTCAAAAAGTCAACATTTGGTGCTGCTTGGCTAGCAGAATAAGCTATAAGTTCTTCAAACCTCCTTTGTTCTGCAGTCTTTGGTTGTTTATGCTTGTTATCTGTTTGCATGCAATTATATTGTTAAATACAAAAGTAAAAAGGAAAAGAATGGGTAGTAGCGTCAAAGAAGTTAGAAGGAATGACATCGATCCTATTAACAAATAACAATATTATTAAATATCGGGTAGTATTCATCGTGCACACACAAAATAACTTGACTGGAAAAGATGAAACTGTTTCAAAAATTTGGGATAATATATACATCCTCAATTACATCAACAAAAGTAAAACGAAAACAACAGCTTCTATTTTCCAAAACCACACAAAGCCCAATAGTAAAAGAGACAAAAAATTTGTTGAGAAATACACTCAATTAACCAAATGGAGCAACGATCTTCCTCTAAAAGTAT